CTTGTTGAGAACCTTGTTGGTGAAGCAAGGCTACTTTCTCGCGTTCTGCGTCAAGTTCATTTTGAATGAACTTGGCGATAGTAGCATGTTGGGCATCTCTATTGAGAGCCTCTAGCATGACGCTAACAGCATGGATGCCCATGGTCGAACCCATTCGTTCAACCGCATCCCATTCGACATCGCTCAAATGGGAGTAGCCGTCACGCGTAGCGTGAAAGCTTTGGTCATCTTCATCATCCAACATATTCATGTTGGATGTGAACGCGGTCCTTGGACGGACTACGAAGTGCTACCAGGTGTAACGGGGCACCCTGAAGCTTGTACTGGTGACAGTACAAGCTACTTATTCTGATAACAGAATAAGGCGGTGCCTCGTAACTTCACGTACACTCGTACGTGCAGAGGAAGACGGTAAGAAGAAGCGAGTACTCGGTTAGAGTAAAAAGTAGAACTGTATTTATAATAGTTAATGTCTGCAATAAATCACTATTTATCTTCATCTAACTATGTCTAAATACAAATGTGTAAATCAGTTATCTGCTCACCACTCATTGCGTGCGTCTGTCGTGGCGCGTCTTCGTTGGTTGATATAATGGCCTATATCAACCAATTAGGGACTACTTGGAAGTGCTACAGAATATTGTCCTTATGACAATATTCTGAGAATATAACTCTTATAGTTATATTCTATTAACAATTTCTTATAAATTGTTATGTAACGATTCACCCCGTTACAATCACAGCCAAGCTATTTGATGATGGACCGAATGCTTGTATATTTCCAAAGAGACGGCGCGTTTTAACCCGTTCCTCGCGTCCTATTTGAAAACTCCCGAATGAAGCTTCGAGGTCTATTGGTCCAAGCGTGGCGGGATGTGGTTGGTTTATTGTTTCAGGGGATGAGCGCCTATCGATGTGATTTCGACATTTTTTTGGATCCCCTTCTTTTACCACCTTGCTCGACCTCGCTTTCCAGTGTACTGATTTTTTTAGGCGTAAAGAGGATTTCAATCCGATAGACGTGCTTGAGGCTCTTCGAGTCTCCGGCTCGGTTTTCCCATCGCCCAGGAAGTTTTGGTCGTCCTTGGAGCCACATTCAATCTCATTGGTCCCTTACATCAAGGACGAATTTGTTGCGTTCTTTCAGACATGATATGCTTAAAATTTTCTTGTTCCTATTCTCTTCTGTTGTCGCTTCGTCACGTCTTGGTAGTGCCGAGTTTGGATCGACCTTAAAAAACTTCGTTCGACCCCTAATAATTTAAGTGTTTTCATGTGGGACTAGGTCTACCCATGAGATACCTTGGTTCACTAAAAGAAATCATATCTACCGTGATGGACCAAGGTCTTCGCCTGATAATTTAGAAACGCGGCTCTAGTTTATTTGACTCTGCATTTTTACGAACTGATAATGGCTCGTATGCTTACGTTTAAACTCCCGCAGTAAGGCTCCCCAATTTCATATACAAGTTCATCCGCATCGGAAGGTTACCCATACGCCTTTCCCCGAACAGATACTCTCGTTGCTGTCGCCCATAACGTTTCTTCTTACCAGTACGGCTCTCCAGGATTCCTTTAACCTAGTTTTCACCCTCGTCCAATACTATAATGTTATTGTCTTTCGTAAATAGACATTCGTCAACGTCAGGCCGGTCCGCATGGCCCAGAGCAGAACGCGTAACGATACATGCCAAGGATGGGCCAGTTTCCTGAAAATTTCATCTTTTTCTCGGTCTAGATAGAGCCATACTGGAATATCCATCTGATTCTTGTAGTCTCCCCTCCCTTCGTTTTGTAATTGAACTCGCGCCTGACTCGCTTCTTGCACTTTCCCCTTTTGCAATTTCCTCCCTCTTTTTTACGGACTCTATTATGTTACTGTTACCTTCTGGAGTTGGACTCTTGCCGTCGGAAAATCACTATCGCTTACGTAATTCAAGGGTAAATCTGGAATCCCAACCGTAGCCAGATAAATTAAGTTAAATTTCCGCACCCGGTCTTGTGCTTTAGTAATCGCAAAATCACCTGCTCTGCATACTCGTCTTAATCATGTTGCCCTAGGTTTGCGGCATACCAATTTATACACCTGGTCAGAGTCTGGACCATTATCTTCACCGTACTATTTACCTGAGGTCAATAGAGCATTTTCGCTTGCGGACAATGACCCACCAATCTTTAAACGTTCATAAGAAACCCGACCTATATCTCATTTCTCGATCATGACGGAAAAACTTGATCGCCCCTACAAGATGTCAATATTACTCTTTAGATCCCTCCGCCACAGTATGAGCTATCCGGGAAGCTCTTGCCTTAGCCATTACGTATCCGGTTGATAGAGGAACCCATATCAGCAAAACTGTATTTCCACTACTCGAACTCTAGAGAAAAGGGATACGGTCCATCACTGTGATTAAGAAAGTTCTTGTTGCTCGTTATTTATAGAACTATTCATTTGCAGAGCAGGTCCACCTTTTCGGTATCATATTCCATGCGTGCATCCACATATCTCAGCACGCTCCGAAACAGAGCTTTTCGGTGACAGTACCGTCGTATGCGGGGGTCGGTACGCCCAATACCTTAATTACTACCTTCTAAAGACGTGCGGTTTTGGTAAAGAAAGTCAATTTAGAGACTTTCAGGTATTACCAGTACGACCGTCATGACACGGCCTTTTCCATCATTTCTATAATAGGATAGAGCACCATAGTTTTTTTCACTTACGTCGTAACCTTTTAAATGTATTCTGCATGACTTAGAAAATTTCACAGACACGCCATTGTGGTGGAGTGGTGTTCACTCATTTTATGAGGCGATCCCGACTCTCCACTGGCGCCCGGACAATCGACTAGCGAAGGGGGTACTTCAATTCCGCTTGCACTTGTTTCCTTCTCACCTTGTGTACTTATCGGTAGAGCGGGTCGCACTCTTCTAGGTTGACTTGACTCGATGCTGAACTTGATCGTTTTAGAGGTTGGTGTCGATCGGGTGGAAATTCCTCACCTGATCGCGTGTTCTTGGTTGGAGCTCTCTAAGTGTCACCGCGATCAGCCTTGACCGCCTTGTGCCAAATATGGGATACTTGTGTCGCGAGCCTTCTGAACACTTGAGCCGTCTCGCGATCATGTACTTCAACCAGTAAGGTTGCCTGCGTCCCCTCGCAGTTGACGTGTGTCGAGTATCCTTTCACTCCTGGCCAAATAGCTCCAGGAGTGATCTTTCTTCCCTTGGTGTCGAAGTTCTCTGATGTCGGGAGACCAACATATCTAACCCGAAGAAGAACAACATGATATGTTTAGAAGCAAATTAGACTCTGTTTAATGTTAACCAGCCAATACCCAGAACTATTACCACGCCTACTCCGTATGTCAGGATTGACCGCCACGTGTGTCTTCCATGCCGAATGGGTTTGCATTCAGTCCCTTGATCGCGATCCTCTGATCGCGGGTCTGCGATATTTCTACAGTCAGGGACCGTGCGTGTAAGGGGTAAGGGCCCTTTATCGTCTTGCACTACTATTAAAGCTGAGGAAGCGCTCTGACTTACATTATAAATTTAACTCTGTTTTTATTTTGTGTTTAAATAATTCGCAGTAAGTGCGAATATGTTCCCTAGCTCGTGAGAACCACTCAAATATAGAACTAATCATTATTGGCTAATTATTGGGTTTGGCACCCCAACAATAATTCAATGATATACAGACGCGCAGTATCCGCTATGTGGTTACTGCCTACACTTAATACATGTATTTATGCATGACCACTTAGTATAATGGGTTGTTCCATGACATCACCCCCCCTCTTTAAGTTGCGCTTACCGTGACGTAAGCACCAAACAAAGAAAGATTTTTCTAAACGAGTAGTTCAACGAAAAACCCACGAGAACTCCAACGGCATGTCATCTGGGTCTTCGACTCTGCTCAGTTAAGAACAACTGAGCAGCATGAACCATGAACACCCACGCGACTGGACCCCAAATGACAGTTGGGGTCATCAGACACTTCGAAGAGAACATACACCGCAGATCATGGATGACGACTTAAAGCCGTGGGGCTTGTACAGCCTCGGAGGTGCTCAACAACCTGAATCACTTGATTCGATGAAGAACCCCTTCACACGATACCGTACCGTTCGAGGCAAAGGAACGAATCACGCATACACTGAAGACGCACTGCAACGACCTTAGTGTGCCTTCATAAGACGCTGGAACGTGAATCGACTTGAAAGTACGTCCTATACGTCCTGGATCGAGGGACGCGAAAACACTCATGGCGTCCACGCTATTGGCGACTTACGCCGACGCATATGTCGTCTGACCTTTGATAAGTTTCACAGGTGTTACGTCCATGTTTGTGAAGGGTGCCCACCGTGTTACAAGAAGAGGCCGCGCCCGATGCGGCAGGAATAGGAAGACATGGTGTGTACACGAGGAACGCCCCAGCACATTCGACCATGGATCGGCCGCTATGAGAGAGCCTCTCAGAGCTCCGAGTATCTGCGTTGCGTCGCATGAAAGAGCGCCTTGTCGATAAGAGATAGCGTTCGCGTAGCCGAGATCGATTGTCTTACGACCACCGTGGTCGTTCTCGTAGTCTCTCTCGATCGTCAAGGTATCCAAGTGCTCCCGAGCCTCGTTGAAGACCTCGGAGGTGCTCGGGAGATCGTCTTCGATCGCCAATTTACGAGCGTCACGGTTCGCGGGATCGCGGAGGGAGTCAACAGCGTCAGTCGCGATCGCCGACCTCTTAGTGGTATCTTATTCCTCAACGACGTCAGGAACATCACGAGCCAACACACTTAGAGGCTTCCACATGTCTTCCGCTGGTGAATAACCCAGCCATCGGACCAAATAAAGCGTTTCGGAACGACTCTTCGATGGCGCCGAGTCATAACTCGGCTCAAGAGGAGTGGGGTCTTCATGACCGACGATACGGTCCATAAATTAGCGTCGCTCACCCGATGCATCCAACACGGGAGGGGGGCCATCACGACAGAAGGCCTATTATGTTGGGTGACGATTCTCATGATCGGGCGCCTGTGCCGTCGATTGACGAGCTTCCTTTCCTTCGTGCTGATAACGAAGAGGCAAAGAGCGGCCTACTGGATGCACTTGATATGGCCGAGAGGACTCGACGGGAGCAGCAGGGCTTGGTGGTGGAGTATCTACGACAGCTTGAGTCTGCTGCGTTCAGTGGACTCCAACAGAACGAGTCCGCACGCGCTCGTGCAGGACTTGGTCCCAGTCGTCGTCAGCGTCGTCGACAGGGTATGTCGGACTTTGAGCCGTTACAGAAGAGCGAGGAAGGTCCAAAGGGAAATCCGCCGGCAGGTAAGCCTTAAGGGCGCCCAACTTAGAACTTCGGGTGCAAACGCACAGTGGTAAAAAGGATAGCGTGTATGCTTCTCCATGTACCTTAACCACCCGGGAGGGACCAATATATCTTGGCGCTAATAAATTAGCACCCAAGTTCGTCACCGATGTGTCCGGTAATCCACTGGTCGATAACAAGACTCTGTCACCTTCTTTGAACGTCAATGTTATCTTTTGACCTCTCTTGTCAGCGTTCTCCTTTTATTTATCCACTGCTTGTTGAAGGGCATCACAAACAAAACGCGTGATGCCTTGCCAAAATAATAGGAATTCGGTCACAGCAGCCGAACTTATAGGTAAAGTGGACTCTTAAGGAGCAAAGATTAGCGACGGGAGATGCGGTGGTAAGCATCGCGTCGGGACTCGATATGCCATTGGCCACAAAGTTAGGAGCAGGAGTTGCATCGGCAGCAACCTTATCTTCAACACTATCAGTCACCAAATTTTTCCGCGTAGTGTCAAAGGCATATACTCCCCCACCAAGCTTAAAAACCGGGTGTTCTGAAGCTGAAGAGCTAGAAGCTGCGGAACGCGAGGGTGCCTCGCGTTTTTCACGAAAATGGCGTCAACCCAGTTGACGCATGAACTGCATTGTTGATTTCAAATTCAGCGAGTGGGAGAAACAAACTCCACAACGTGAACGACGTCGCGTACCTGCGTAGGACGTCTTCAAGCACTCTGTTCACGCGCTCCATTTGCCCATCCGTCTCTGGGTGGGCTGTCGTAGACATAAGCAGTCGCGTACCCAATAGTTGGAACAACTCTGCCCCTAAAGCCGACGTGAAACGCGGGTCACGGTCCATAGCAATGGATTCTGGCAGGCCGTGATCCCGATATATGAGATCGATAAAGATCTCCGCGGTCGTCTCCGCCGTCACGTGCGCGAAAACTGGAGCAAATGTACCATTTTACTGAATCGATCGACAAGAACCAGTACGCCCGTGCGTTTCTGTTCATCCGGTAGAAGACCAATGATATAATCCATACTGACGGAGCGCCAGGCTTCCGTAGGAATCGGAAGCGGTCGCAATGGGGCTTGTGTAGACGGCGCAGGTTTCACACGCTGGTATGTTTCACAAGAGATTACCAATTTCGGATTAATTTGTACAAACGCGGCTATAAAAACACACACAAAATGGCGGCAAACGTCTTCTCGCGACCCAAATGACCACCAGCTGGAGTTTCATAAAATTCATGCATTAATCGTGCGCGGATGTCGTCATCAGCAGGGATAAAGAAGCGCGGTGGGTCAATGACGTCCATTGTATAAGTCAGCAGTGGACCATCAAGCACGTAACGCTTGATGTGATCACGCATTGGTTTCGTCAACTTTGCGAATAAACCCTAACTAGGGTGTCAAAGGTAATTTTTAATTTTTGTGTAAAATGAATCAATTCGCATATGACTCAGCGATTTGTGTCCGGATTGACAGCACAGGTGTCGAAATTATTGCATTGAGCCCCTGCTTAGCACAGCGTAAACAAATGCTGTCGTCCTCGTCATCAGCACTGCCTGGCTGATGACCCATGTCACGTCGAGGATCACAATCGGGACGTCGAGAAGGCGCGTCAGCGAAAATGTTGTTCTTGCCGGGCTTATTATAGACCTCGAAATTATACTCTGAGTAGTATGACGACCAACGTGCCCTACGTTGGGACAAGTGGGGTGTCTTGACGGCAGTTCGCAATGATGCGTGATCTGTACAGAACGAAAACATTTTCTCGCCGAGCAAATGTACATTAAACTTGATCAGCGCGTAACGCATAGCCAAACGTTCCTTTTCATGTACCGGATAATATCTCTCTGCAGGTTTCATCTACCGTGACTGAAAGATCACGACGCGCTCTCGGCCCTCATCGTCAAACTGCATGAGGGCACATCCGATTGCGAAATCACTCGAATCACAGACGACTTGAATTGGCTTGGAATCAGCATTCTACCTTAGCACTGGTGCCTCAGACAATCTCTTTTTCACGGAACCGAAGACAGGCTGATGTTCTGCCGTCCATGACTATACTGCGTCTTTCTCCAGTAGAGTCGATAGTGGCTGAAGTAGCTCTGCACAGTTCTTCGTATACTTATGCAAGTAATTGGCCAAGCCAAGCCATTGGCGTAGTTCCGTTTGATTCCTGAGCGTAGGCCAGGAGCGTTTCGATGACACTTTGTCGGGATCAGCACGGACACCCTCCTTGCTAACATAGCATCCAAGGAATGAAATCTCGGGAGCACAGAAGACACACCTCTGTAAATTTGCGTACAATTTATTCTTGCGCATAACTTGGAACACTTGTTTCAAATGCCGAAGGTGGACCACCGTAGCGCTGAGTTGTTACTCAGCGCGGCTGTGGACAAAACTGTCGTCGAAATGACTCGGTGCAAAATCGCTTAGTGGACGAAGCACTTGTGTCACCATCCGGTTATTCGTTGCTAAAGAGTTCTCAAGGCCTTGTGGCATGCATAGCCACTCCCAAAACATCCCGCTTAGGGTGATGACAGCGGCAAATTTAATTTTACTGTCACTCATTAACATCTGATAAAGCCCGTCTGTCAGATCTATGGCGCTGAAAATCTCGCTGCCGGATATGGTATCCAATACCATGTCTTTGCGTGAAATCGGCGTTTAAGCCGGGATCGTGGCGTCATTTGATTTGCTGAAAGCATGCACACTGCTCCAACCGCCGGTGGCTTTCTTTACACAGAAAGTCGGGCTCGAATGTGGCGAGATGCTTTTGCGAGCATGTCCTGCCTTACGGCGGCCCTCAAAAAAATTATCAATTGCGAAGACTTGGTCACGTGGTAGCGGCCACTGCCGCGTCACGCAATACTTCGATCCTAGCACGAGATCGATTTCTTGTCGCACTCCACGATCCGCTGGATTCTTAGCGGGGATTTTCTCCGGAAAGATGTCGGCGTGCTCACGCGCGATATCATAGACAGGGTTGCCCGAAGCCCGAAAGGCTTCCCAAGGCTGTGCCGCAAAACTTTTTTCACGCGCTGATTTGGGCTCGGCGCTCTTTGGGCAAGCCTACAGAACTTCTCCACTAGCTGTTTTGGCGGCTGATATGATTCACACTTGCTCGATTTCGCCGGCCTTGAGGTCACGAAGGAAATCTTTCCATGGTAGAGCTGATCGAGATATAGTTTCTGCAGCAGTGCACGGAGGGCTCGCTACCTCAACGGAGCGGCCGCGATGTGAATACCCTTTCACATATTCAAGCGCACACAAGGATTCCGGCACTACAGAATCATCTTCGACGGCGTTTGAGCGAGAATTTTGTCGTCTTGGCGATCGGCGTGCATCTCTCTTACGTTTGCGCTTTCTCTTGCGTCTCGAGCCACTGTTCCAGACTGGCACGTCGCTGGAGGATGAATCACCCCCCCCCTCTAAACGCGGGGGCTCTGTCTTCACCACGTCGTTCAAATCCGAATCTACAGTTCGTTCATTTTATTTGATAAGAGGCGGGACCTCGTCGTCGACCGCCTCAGATGTATGTGGGAGCCTCTGTTTGACCACCTCGGTAACAATCGGGAACCTCTGCTCGACCGTTGTGTGTGTATGCAGGAGACCCTGCTCTATCGCCGCAATATGGATTGAAAGCCTCTGCTCGTCCGTAGTAATGTACGAGAGCCCCTGCTCGACCGATGTCTGTATTTGCGGGAATCCCTGTTCAACCGCCTCATGTTGAGGCTCTGTCAGTCTGACTGAACCTACCGGACACATAAAGCCATCGCTATCTTTGTGCTGATTTCTAGTCGTGGCGAGTTCGTTCACGACCCGGACGTGAGACCAATCGGATGGCGCAACCAGCAAATGGGTGAAAACTTCACTCACGTCATAACAGCTTCTTCGTTTGACGGACCGAGATAGCCAGTCTATCGTCGGCTGATACCGTAGAGAGCCACGTTATCCCTAAGATGCAATCGAATGCATAGTTTATCTCGTACACCAGAAATTCGTCGTTGCTTTAAATGCCGTCAAACGTAAACGGCGAAACCACGGTTATACTCGGGACACGCTGTGGTTGTCCATCAGCAAGTTTGACAACGATGTCACCTAAACCTTCTCGAACCGGAATTTTGGACGGGAGAAGGGCCAAACATGATTCACGAAAGAAGTTGTTAGATGCATTTAATCCAACAACGCTCGGAGTGGTCGTTTAACTCCAGCAACGATGAGACTGATATCTATCAGTCTCGGATCGTCGTGCATGGTGGTGGCGTTAAAGTGAGTGTGTATCAATTTGGGGCTAGGAGCCCGAGCTGCCACCTGAGTACTCGGGGCTTCATTGCTGCCAGTAGAGCGCCCCGCGCCAACTGGAACCGCTCGTTTTTTGGTGGGTCCACCGACGACACAGCATCTCCACGTGAGACAGCTGTGTTCATGGACACCGGCGCTGGTGCTCGGCAGACGGCCGCACTGTGGTCTGTCCTGCCGCAATGATAACACTTCACTGTGTTTTGACTTCGCATTTCGCGGCCAAATTGTTTGCTACGACCACGAGATGTATCGATAACGTCAATTTTCATTGGATATGGGCCAGACGTACGCGGGCGTTGCGACGCTTCCTGCAAGTATGGCGACGCTATCGTGTAATCTTCACGAATTGCGAGGTCAAATGACTCCTCGAGAGTCTTCAGTTCAGCACGTGTGAGTCAATAGCGGTTCATGTCCTCTTGCACACAGAAGACAAAGACATGGACTTGTGAAGCCATGTCGATCGGCTGCGTGGCGATACATGAAGCAAGCTGTCGCGTTCTCTGCCCGTAATCAGGCATCGACAGCTTACCCTATCGAAGTTAAAAGAAATTTGCACACAAGCGTGAATCATCTTGAGGGGGCTCGAACGCCATTCGTAAGTCGCGCTAGATATCTTCCAGCGTGGGGAACGCCAAATCATTTACCACGGGCATCCCAACAGCCCATTATTTGAGTTTACCAACAAGTCGAGACAGCAGAAAAATAACCTTGGCCTTCGGAGCGTCGATAAACCTTGACGCTATGGCGATATCGATCTCCCTAAACTAGCGATTAAGGGGGAGACGATCTGGACCATCACCAGAGTACGTCGACGTCTCCATTTTAATTGCGTCGTAGTGGGAGGGGCGCGAGGGAGTCTGTACTCGCCGGTTCGCTTCGGCGAGCTCGCGCACCATGTAGTCTTGAATGGCGGCACGGTGTTGTTCGGGCGTCGCTGTACTCAGCAGCGACGTCACCAAGATTTTACTGGACACCGACTCGAGGCGGTGTAATGCCTGTTATTCTACTGTAGTGACGTGGGGGAAATCTGCATGCTCTACGCTAGAGCCATCAAAGATTCTCTCATGTCCCTCTCCAATTTGGTCATGGTAAGAACTACTAAGTGCTACCAGCTGTAAGAAGGTTAGGGCCACTTATCGTCTTGCACTACTATTAAAGCTGAGGAAGCGCTGTGATTTATAAGGTAAACATAACTCTGTTTTTATTTTGTGTTTAAATAATTCGCAGTAAGTGCGAATATGTTCCCTAGCTCATGGGAACCACTCAAATACAGAACTGATCAATATTGGCTAATTATTGGGTCTGGCACCCCAACAATAAACCAATAATATATAGACGCGCAGTATCCGCTATGTGGATACTGCCTACACATAATACATGTATTTATGTATGACTACTTAGTATTATGGGTTGCCCCAGACTAGATGGGTTTGAGCCCGTTGGGTCCTCCCAACGGTAACATACAATTAAATGGGATGATTCTACGAGCGATTTTGCCAATCCCCCCTTGTAATGAGATAAATAGCCTAGTCGTTAGACCCGATC